AGACAGAGAGAGGACAGCCAGTGATGGTGGCTATGTCTTCTTGGAGCTCATATTGGCTCCTCCTAGAACGAAAACTCCACTCTGTACTCTCTCATGGCGCTTCTCTACTCTTCTGCCTCTCAGCGCCGCAAATCGACCAAACCCTTTCATCGTTTTCGCCACAATGATGGACGCCAAGCCCACCGTCCTCGTCGCCGAGAAGCTTGGAGAAGCTGGACTCGACCTGCTGAAGAGCTTCGCTAATGTTGATTGTTCATACAACCTGAGCCCCGAGGAACTCTGCACCAAGATCTCTCTCTGCGACGCGTTGATTGTGAGGAGCGGCACCAAGGTGACCCGTGAGGTCTTTGAGTCCTCCGGGGGCCGGCTTAAGGTTGTCGGCCGGGCTGGTGTCGGGATTGACAATGTTGACTTGTCGGCTGCTACTGAACATGGTTGTCTGGTCGTGAATGCCCCAACAGCTAACACGATCGCGGCTGCTGAACATGGAATTGCCTTGCTGACAGCTATGGCGAGAAACATTGCTCAGGCTGATGCTTCTGTTAAAGCTGGTTTGTTTTGGTTCTCTCCACTTTTTTCCTTGTTTCAACTTTGTGCAATCAGTCTTCATTGTGTTAATTTGGTTCTTTGAGTTGTGTTTAATTGTCAATCACACAATTAAGTAAAACCCTCTTCAAATTTTGGTTCTTTGAGTTGTGTAAATTTAGTTCTTTGAGTTTATATGTTATTGAATTTCCGGACATAATGTTCATTTCAAATTGCAAGAGTAGCAGCATAAGCAAAACCCTCTTCAAACATTTCACAGAATGAGAGAGACTGTTAGAACTGTAAAAATTTGGTAAATTGAGAGTTCAGTCAGTTATTATTCTATACTGATATTGCTATATTATAATCTGGGTAGCTCCCTGATCTCATGAAATTCTGTTGTTAAGAACTGTAGCGTTTTAGTAAATTGAGTTCAGTAAGTTATTTTTCTATATTGATATTGATATATCATAAACTAGGTAGCCCCTTGATCTCCTGAAATTCTGTTGTTCTATATGATGTGGTATGCCAGGGAAGTGGCAGAGGAATAAATATGTTGGAGTCTCACTTGTGGGAAAAACCCTGGCTGTAATGGGGTTTGGCAAGGTTGGTTCTGAAGTTGCTCGGCGTGCCAAGGGACTTGGTATGCATGTCATTGCGCACGATCCATATGCTGTTGCGGATCGTGCCCGTGCCATTGGTGTGGACCTGGTAACCTTTGAGGAAGCCATATCAACTGCTGATTTTATCTCCCTACACATGCCCCTTACCCCTGCCACATTGAAAATGTTTAATGACGAGGCTTTTTCGAAGATGAGGAAGGGTGTTCGGGTTGTTAATGTTGCTCGTGGTGGTGTGATTGATGAAGAAGCTCTCCTAAGAGCTTTGAATTCTGGAATTGTTGCTCAGGTTTTATTCTTAATAATTAACTCCTCATAAGAATTACCTTCTTTGTGTCCCAGGAGGGAAAATTTTTAACGAATACTGTTCTATCTGTTCAGGCAGCCCTTGATGTCTTCACAGAAGAGCCTCCGGCAAAAGCCAACTCACTGGTGCTGCATGAAAATGTAACTGTGACTCCTCATCTCGGTGCCAGCACTACCGAGGCACAGGTATGACAGACTTTCTTCATCCTGCTGCTTCATTTTTACTTATTATCAACCTTAAGCTGTTTAATCGGGTATGTTGTGATCAGGAAGGTGTTGCCATTGAAATAGCAGAAGCTGTTATTGGGGCTTTGAAAGGAGAACTTGCGGCTACTGCTGTAAATGCACCAATGGTTCCTGCTGAGGTATCATCTCGCATTTTATTACTAGTTTCTTTTAATGTGGTGAAAGGTTTGATTAACATATTTTATTTCCTAAAGGTCATTGATGTTTTCTCTTAAGCAGCTTCATCATTTAACTGACATCTTAGATTTGTCATTTTCTTGTGAAACATGAGAGATGATTTAATATTAACTACAAGAGCAGAACAATCCTGCCTTGATTGATAGATACTTGTGCCATTTTTGCATTGCAAGTCATATAATGATTAAAGACTTCCAAGAACAGAATGAACGAATGTTCCTGTTGGATCTACAATGCGTGTGGGCAGAACCCAACATCGATAATTTCTTTTTGTTCATTTATATTTCCGTCACTCAACAGAAGGATTTAACTTCATGCCTTAATGATATCAGGTTTTATCAGAACTTGCCCCATACGTATCTCTGGCCGAGAAACTTGGCAGACTTGCTGTGCAACTGATTGCTGGTGGAAGTGGCGTACAATCAGTAAAGGTGACTTATGCTTCTGCACGAGGTCCTGACGATCTTGACACACGACTTCTCCGAGCTATGGTCACCAAGGGTATAATTGAGCCGATTTCCAGTGTTTTCGTGAACTTGGTAAATGCTGACTTTATAGCTAAACAGAGGGGACTGAGAATAACAGAAGAGCGGTATGTGTTGGATGGTTCACCGGAGAATCCGCTCGAATTTATCCAGGTTCAAATTGCCAATGTAGAATCTAAATTTGCCAGTGCCATTTCAGACTCAGGAAATATCACAGTGGAGGGAAAAGTGAAAGAGGGAAAACCCCATCTTACGCGGGTAGGATCATTCGAGGTTGATGTGAGCCTGGAAGGCAGTCTCATACTTTGCAGGCAGGTTGATCAACCTGGTATGATCGGAAAAGTGGGAACCATTTTGGGAGATGAGAATGTAAATGTCAACTTCATGAGTGTGGGAAGGATTGCTCCAAGAAAGCAGGCTGTAATGACCATTGGTGTAGATGAAGAACCCAGCAGGGAAGCACTGAGGAAAATTGGAGAGATACCCGCCATTGAAGAGTTCGTTTTCCTCAAGTTGTAACACAAGCATGCCATATTCCCAATTTTTGGAATACCATTATGACAGATTTAACTTATGGTGCTTTTACTGTAAGTTTATATAATAACTAGGTTGTTTTAATACTGTAAGTTTATTTATTTGGGTAAATGTTCAATATGCAACGTATGATGACTGAGAAACATCATTAGATTACCCCAATCAATATGAAACATAAAGAATTTCAGAATTTGCGTGTGAGCAAGCATGAGTAGCCACCGCATAGCGAACGTGTCAGCAGTTGAAGCTCCGAGACAGAGAACCTGAAATATATAAATATTACAGAATAGGGTAGGGGTTAAAATTACAGGGAAGTCCAGAAACATGTACAAATCAAAGGTACGGAAAAATGTAGTGTTTTATTTTTTTAAGGTGGATTAATTTGTTGGTATTTTGTTACTGTGTTTGCTATAGCAGGGAACCGAAGAGGAAAATGACCAAGGAGCCATAGAAACGAAGTTGGAGACTGTAGATTACAGGTCACCGGCAGGAACAGAGGACAAAGAAGCAGAGAAAGAGAAAGTTGCGGTTGTTCATCTGATGCGTGATGACGGTAGATCAGGCGGTGGAGGAGGTTTTTTGCGGGGGGCAGCCGATGCTGTGGCGAAATCCCTTAAAGCCACAAAGGAGGCCGTGTGGAACAGGGACAAAGATTGCAAGAAATGAAACCCGTAGATGCATAAAAACCAGTCCATGAAAATGGAAGCAATGAAGATAAAAATGACTGGGTTGGGGTAGAATATGTAAAAGTTCATCAAAATTTTACTTCAAAAATACATCTATAATGAAGAATACACCTTTCCCCAGCTGCATTTTTCCTGTTATTTTTTGTGGAGCCGTACTGAACCAGTTTGGTCAGATGTGGACCAACTCTCAGTAGAAGAGAAAAAGTCGGCAGCCACAGGTAGCTAGCCAACAACAAAGGGAAGCTGTTTCTGAATCATCGGCCAAAATTTCTTCTGACTCCCCCTGACATAAACGCACTCACATATGCTTAGTCTCCCTCAGCTGATTCATTGCCAACACTCGCAAGTACGCATTTTGAACGCATATCATTGTGTTAATTGGTACAAATTTCATTTATAAAAAATCTCAACTTCAAAAAAATTCATTCATAAAATTCTCAACTTTAAAAAGATTCATTTATTGATAACCGTTCTCGACAAGAGGCTGCAACCAATTTTGAGCGCACAGTACAGAGAAACCTTCAAAGTTACCAACCCTACTGCAAATAACGATCTGCTTAACCTTACTACAAATTAATTATAAAAGAAATCTATCTGAAACTTTTACTGACTACATCTACTACTCCCAAATGGCGACCTCCATGAACCCATCTTCGGTGGCGCAGCCCCGAAACATGCCGGTGCAGTTAAACCCACAAGCCACTTCTCCCTTCGACGACACCGCGATTAGCCCGGCTTTCCCTTCGTCCAGTCTCTCCTTTATCACGTAGTCCACGGCTTCCTGCAGTCCCAGCCCTTTGTATTCCATCACCGCCGCCACTTCACGTGCCAGAGTCGAGCGTATGATAGCCTCGCCTTCTCCCGTGCACGACACCCCGCAACCTCCGCACGCGTAAGTCCCGGCACCGATCAGCGGCGAGTCACCGATGCGACCGGTCATCTTGTTCATCAGTCCACCTGTCGAAGTGCCAGCTGCACACCTGCCCTCCCGGTCAACCACCACGCACCCAACCGTTTCTGGGGCGTAAACGCTGATTGGTAGACCGTTCATTTGTAATGGGCTATCTGTGGCTGCAGCCCCGGCTCCGCATGTTCCCAATCCGACTGTGGGAATGCGATAATCAAACTGGTCAAAAAGAAATCGAAGGTGGTGTGTTAGTCGAGGTGAGCACCGAAAGCTTAAAGAAATCAGATGGACGGTGATGATTCAACAACGTACCAGGATGGAGTTGGCCTCCTTTGCCAACTTAAGCATCCCCACGTTATCTTCTGTGATGAAGTATTCATTATCAACCAGCTCAACACCCTGAAACCAAAGAGTTCAAAAATTTAACTGAAAAGTTGAGGTAAATACTGGTGGTAAATAGTAATTTCCAGTTTCCTTATTTGATTATAATAACGGTGCCATCGTGTCCATGGAACCAAGTCTTGTTTACACGTGTGGCCATTTTTGACCATTTGTCATTACTGAAATTTAAAGCCGTGAGGATTTTCAGGAACCGTTCGTTTCTTATTTTCCATGGTGGAAGGCGAAAAACTGTCGTGACTGTAAACTTATCGAATGAAGAAGAAGAAGAAGTAAACCTGCCGTCTGGCGAACTCCTCGGCGCCGGAGAACGCGAGGTAGGAGTGGGGAGACTTTTCCATCACGAGCCGGGCGAGAGAAATAGGGTTCTTCACGGTGGTGATACCCGAAACGGCGCCGCATCTCCTCCCTGGTCCGTCCATAATGCTTGCCTCCATCTCTACTGTTCCTTTCTCCGTCAGAGCGGATCCACGGCCAGAGTTGAAAATAGGATCGGTTTCCAGTTCACTTACCTGTGTATAAACCATCAATCCGTATAAAAAAAAACAGCACTAATCCCATTAACAAAGACGAAAATGACGATGGAAATAACATTAAGAAAGAAAAGATAGACGATGAACATAATTTTCCAAAAATCAAAAACCAGAAAAAGCCAAGGATGCACCGCTGATCATCAATAAATGTGGCAGCATTTTGTGTCTTTTCAAAAACTTAAACGGACGAAACTTCCATCAAAAACATTTGGGCAAAACGTGAAGTAAGAATTACAAAACGGAGAAATTCAACACGGAAAAACAGAGGTCAATGAAGGGTAAAACAGAGAGACGTACAACGAGTTCGACAACGTCAATAGCAGGGAGGTTAGATTGAAGAGCGGAGATGCCAAGATTTAGGCAGCGAGTGAGGAGTTGTTTAGCCTCCTCTTGTCGCTCCTTTGGGAGATTTGGGTCCACACCAGCACCGCCATGCACTGCTATAGCCCAGCCTCCCATGGTCTCTCCGCCTCTTTCACTCGGGACTTTGTGGGCACTCTCTTTTTCTCTCTGGCTCGCTTCCACGGCGAACACCGATACCCTATGAGCCTCTATATATAGCGGATCTCCGGGACCCCAGAGGAACACAGAGTATCTATGAGTTGGAATAATTAATTAAATTCAACTTCTCTGTAAATTTTTTTCCCCTTCCTCTGTTTCCCTTTTTTTAACTTTCTCTTGTTCGTGTCTAATCTCACAAGTCCACTTGTTGCGGGCTGGAAATTCTGTAGGTCTTGGATGCCAAATGACACCTCAATATACCCCTTAAAAGGCGTCGTTTCGTGTTTCAAGTTTTGAATCTTTGACATCAAGTGAAATTACTACTTTACCCTTCCTTAGCAAATTTTTATTCTCCTAGGGTATTTTCGTAAATACATAAATGAGCCGGACACCCACTGATGGATGACCTAGTTTGGTTGGTCTCTAGATTGAGCAAATGAATATTATAATTTATTATCACAACGTGGAATCTAACTGAAGATGACAAAAGTATTGTTCGTCGAGCTTCTCAATGTATTAATTTAATTACTTGGGAACGTGGGGCTAAATTTTTTTCTTACTACTATATTAATAGAGTAATTAATTAATTAATTGTTATTCTAAATTTTAATTATATTTATGATATTTATAATGTCTTTAAATTCGAAATAATATGAGTAACAGGGCAAATATTTTCTGATACGCTATGTATAATAAAGATTGATTTTGTTTTAAGGAATTTCCTTAAATAGTTGGACCATGTACATTATGTCTTGCATCATTCAACGTTGGAACTTAATATGACAGAAAACGCCTTGATGTTTGACCAATTTCGAAAGAATCTTGAAAGACCGTGAGTGATTTGGTTTTGGATTCTTCTATTTTTAATTAAATTAATTAATGCGTCATTAAATTACAATTTATTTCGATTTCCCAAAACAAATTTATTTAATTCCGAGCTAGTTGGCTTCGATTTTTGTACATTAAAATATATAAATCTTTATTTATTTATTTATTTATTTTTCTATAAATTTATTTATAATGTTTGATTATTTAACAAATCCACATATTTTATTGTCAAACTGTTTTCTTCATTCCGAAATTAATTCCCACTCGTGTCTATCATATATTGAAAGAGTCATCATTAAGCTAATACTCTGTGAAGAGGAAAAGAAAAGATAAAATAAAAAAAGAGGAACCAAATCTTCCACCACTATTTCAACCACCCACCTTAATTCAACTTCCACATTTACCATATTCATGATTCACGATTGAATCTTTTGAGCAATAATGCAATTTTAATTTATTATTAAAAATAGGAAAACTTTTATAATTGGGTCCTACTAGTTGTTACCCATACGAAAAAAAAAAAAAAAGGTTGAAGGTAATAGAAATAATAACTTCTGTACT